TTTTATATACTCCTCAAAGATAACATGAACGTCTCCTACATCTAACTCCATTCCAGGTCCAGCATCCCAGTCAGGACTCCATCAATACAGGGTGGATTTGGAATTTTAAAACATTATGTACCAAGTACAGTGTGACTTACTTTCTGACCATTCTACAGTAGCCTCTTCCTCTGCTGACATTTCATCACAACTTCCTATTTTATTTTCTGTGTGGATTTTGTGGTGTGCTGGTAAATGTTTAACCACTGGCTTTCCAGAGGAAAAAAGAAAACTTCAGTATGTGACCTTTGCCCACAGCCATGGCATAAATGCCCCCACCATGGCCAAAGATTCCAGCTTAATACTACTCCAAATGGTGCTGGGACAAGCCACACATAATTTGGTCTCAAACCGTGTGACAAGCTGCAGCATATTACTGTTTGTGGTTCTTCCCACTCCTAAGATTGTCTGGTTTATAGTTCACTTGTATTTTTTCTGTTCCCTTCATAAAATCTAAGCTCCGTAAGAAAAGGCAGTTCTCCCATGTTCAGCACAGACTCTCCCCAGGCATAAAACAGTGACTAGCATTTAGCAGATCCATAATAAAAATGTGTTAGACAAAAGCATATTTTTTTACTCAAAATTGAATATATCAAATTTTTTAAGATGCAACAGTTAAAAAATATTTTTGTTTTTTTAAATCATTAAAGATTGTGGGTTGATACACAAAAGTTTGGAAATACTTCCTGAGCGGATATGAGAAAGACATGAGTCCAGGGTCACTTTTAAAAATCATTTTATCTTGCCTCTTTTATCTCCTAGGCTTTCCCCATGGTGTAAAGATGAGGTTGAGATGCATAAAGAAAAAAAAAAGAAAGTTGTAAGCTTTGAATTTAACTTTCATTATAAAAAGAACAATCATAACTTCCATTTGTGAAAATAAGAAAGTGTTCATTTCAAAATGAAACAAAAACATCATTTTATATATTGAGTTAAATAGGCAAATATAAAACATCCTGGTGCCAGAAAGTCTTTTCACTTATATGTGCTATTGGTTATGACAGAATCAGAGTTAAAGTTCATTACTATGATTTGCATGATAACTAGTAATATAAAATAATGCAAATAAGATTCTCCAACAGGAATAATTATTCAGATTTTAGATTTCCTTCTAAGTTCTTTTTTCTTTTGAAAGAAATGAAAAATAATTAGAATTGACTTTTTATATTTTTATTTCATCTTTAATTTCCTAACATCCAACTCTGAATTAGTAACTTTTCATCTCATGCTGATGTTAGTAAATTTTAATATAGATGCTGCAAATTTTTTCTTAGCTCATATTGTACCTTGTATGATGGGCACAAAGTAATTCATGAAAAGGTTCATTATATTTCTGTTAATTATATTATCTTTCACAACCTGACTCTCAATGGCTCTCTTTAGGCTTGTTTTTCTTATATTCCAGGCTGAACTGCCTATTTTACCCCCCCCACACACCATGATGTTTTCCCATTTCTGGCTTTGCTTTCTTACCCTTTGGAATGCCCTTCTCCCCGTCTCTGTCTTTTGTAACCCTGACATTATTCTAAACCCACTTCAATTATCAAAGTATTCATTCTGTGCACAGCATGTAGTCACTCACTGATCTCCTTCTTGTGTGCTTATTACTTTGCTTATTATCTTCTCTCCCCTGTAGGATATAAGCCAAGTGAGAACAGGGCTTTTTCTCATTTGCTGCAATATCTCAGTGCCCAAAACAATGCCTGGCATATAGTTAAGTACATTGAACATTTTTTGAATGAACAGACAAATAAGTAGTTATCAAAACAAATCTAAGGATAACATAAATGCAGTAAGATTTTCTATTTACCATGATAAAAAAAACCCCACAAACATTTATATTCCAATCCAAAGTATAGGTTGGCACTTCATCTTAATCTTGTGCTATTTTGACAAAGCTGTGAGAATTAAAGTAAGATAAAGTGATATTTTGAATCAGTCAAAAATAATTTCTAACACCTAAGGTTGAAAGAATTCCAGCTTGAAGGTGCTATTTTCCTCATATGAAACTGTGTTATTATACTCCATTTATAATCTAACTAAACACATTTTCTTGGTATGCTAATGCTTTGTGCAAACCTTCTCTTGATTTTGTCATATAATTTTTTCAGAAAGATTCATTTAAGTGAAACAGACCTTAATGTAGATTTGAATGAAATTTTTAAGAGCAGAATTTATATTTCAAAGTAGGTAGTCATTTTCATATTAACCTGTATTTATATAAAATGGAACAAGCGTCGTAGATGTCTCCTTTGACCTCTTCCCTGTATTCTTCTCTTTGAAAATAACCCAGGCACACAACAAAAAAGGTGGGTTCATGGGGGGAAAGGATATATACACATACAGAACTTCTAAAAGTTAAGGAAATTTTATGGGTCTGTATGTCTCAAATAGAAAATCACAAATGCTTTGGTTAGACAGTAGTTATTCATTTATAATTTGAAAAAAAGTTGTAACAGTAATGAATTATTATTTATTTTCTACAACTGTATAGACGTTAAGTTGAAGGCGCTGAACTTACCACTACTAGAAATAATAACTGATAAAAATATGGTGACTTGTGCTCCCTCTTGCTTTCTCTTTTAATTCTTATAAAAACCCTACACTGTCTAAACTGAGAGAGAATGATAGACCAAATTTTCAATTAGAGAGTTCATGGCATAAGTCCAGAAACATGCTATTAAATGTTCGGTGTTAGGATATATCAGAAAACAAAAAGACAAAAAGTCTACCTTCATGGACCCTATAATCTGGGATTTGGGTTGAAAGAGGTACAATTATGGCTTTTAGACTAATGAATCAAGCTACTCAAATACATATTTGTGGATAAAGTGAAAGTTTCTATGGCCAGGATTCTCACCTGGCCCTGGTCAGCTAGGTCACTACACAAGTGTGGGCAATATGCATTGACTCTATATAAAGAGCTCCACCCAGTGCTGTGTGTGACACGGTGGCACAGCTGCAAGGCTGCAGGAGAGCAGAGGCTGGAGTGGTGGCAGGGCCAAGGGCAGAGAGGCCCAGAGGCTTGCTGCATGCAGACTTGCTCCGAGTGGATGGGATTCTAGTGATTGACCTGCCACTGTGAGAACAAAGTTGGGTATAACCCTTTCACCCCAAGAACATTCTACAGTCATTTTTTTGGTTTCATTGAATACATAGTGAACTTGCCTGGGGCTGAAACCCATTGGCAAGACAATATTCATAATAAAGGGTGTTGTTTAAAGAACTACATTAGAGGCCAAGGGATTTGCATGTTCTTTCCACCCTCAAGTATTAAATGACATTTGATATTTTGTACAAAACCTTGGAACATGCTCTGCTGTTACTGTGCACAATTCAGCTTCTTTCTTTTGTTTGATTGAGGGATGTGAATAATGATAATCAACCAGAATTGTTGCATCTTCCTCTCCCACAGTACTTCCTTTCTATGGTGCTTAGAGCACTTACTGCATGCAAGTTTCAGAGCTCGCTCTCTCTTGGTCTCCTAACCTGGACTGATCACTGTCCAGGGAGAGGCCACCTCTTGTTAATCTGTGCATAGCCAGAATTTAGCAGTGCTTGCCACAGTTCAGGTGGGATGCATGTTTTTGTATGAATAAATTTATATATACATCATTGTTTTCAAAGCATATCAACATGTATGCTTTCATCAGATCCTTGCAAAAATTAGTGAGAGTGCGGGGTAGCATGAATTCCTTCATTTTACAGAGTCTCAGTGGAATTGAAGGTTTTTAATTCCCTTGTTTGACAGACAAGGAAATGGCATCAGTGAGAGCTTATGTGATTTCTGAAGGGCACAAAGCTAAGAGCTAAATTTCAAAATCAGTGTTCTTTCTGAAAACACCAGCACATTGTGCCTTTAGGGTCTGTCAGGAATTTGATTTTCTCAAATGATTGGTGAAATCTTGCTTTTTTTCCCCCAGACCATAATGTGGAAAAGATCTTTAGAAACCATCCATATTGTAACTAGAAAGCAATGGCATTGATTATAAGCAACTCTTGTTGTAAAATAGGGTCTGCCTTGAAGAGTACACCATTAGTCAAAACAAATCATAATCTGTCACAGGGAAGGGAATGGAGGCAGTTTTGTCATTTTCAATCCTGAACCCACAGTCTTGACCATTCTGTTTACATGAAACTTCTGGGTGCTTAATTTCTTGATCAGGAAATGAGTCCCTACAGTGACAAGATTATGAAAGCTGTCCATTGGGGGAAGGGATAACAGCCAGTACTTGAAGTTTCTAGTAATTGAATACTGATCAACTGATTCTAAAGTCACCCTTCAGTAACATCATATCCCATAGACTGCAGGCTACAGGACGGAACTAGCCAGGTGCCCCCCCTAAACCATGCATGGTGTGTTAACAATGACTGTCACACATTAATTAATCAATTAAGTGGCAACTCTGAGTAAACAGTGGCTGTAGATCCACCTGAAAAAGATTAGGTCACGTTTTTCAAACTTAGTAATAGAAACTTCCGTTTGTGTGTTTTTTAAAAAAAAATTATTTAAAGCCGTTTTTAAGAAGTTTGCTTTTAAGGTAAATTATTTTCTAGGCAATATACTAGGGCCCTTAATGGAGACCTAGTGATGGAACCTTGATCCTTAAAGTCAGTTGTATGCTGTTATAAGTCAACGTTCCAAAAACACGTCAACAGAAATTAACAGCAACTATCATTAAATCCCAACATTTCTGAACTAAAAAGCATTCTCTCTTTGGAGATGAGATGACTGGGGTGATGACTATTTCTCTTCATCTGAAAGAAACCCATCCTCATCCTCCCTCCCCTGCATCCCTGCAGCCTTCTCGCTTCCCTCAGACGCACGGATACTCTGCCCATTTCATTTGAGAGCAAAGTTGAAGCCACACGCCAGCTACGCCCTCCCAGCGCTCCCTGGGCTGGAGCAGCGAAGTTCTGGGCCGAGCTCCCTTCCCAGAGCGGCGACGCCGTCTCGGTACCTGCGCCGCTTTACGCCGCATCTGAAGGTTCGCCCGCCGCGGAGCAGTTGCGTCTCCATCTGGCAGCCAACCCACCGAAGCCTTCTTCTCCTTCACCACCACCACCTTCCGTCCTTCCCCTCCCCGCCTTCGTCCCTCCCCACCCCCGCCCCCAATCTCCTCCTCTTTTTCTCACTACAAGCGGCTGCTGATGCTGAAGCCGAGCGTCACTTCTGCTCCCACGGCAGACATGGCGACATTGACAGCGGTCCAGCCGCTCGCTCTGGACAGAGGTAAGGGAGCGGCTCGCCGCCGGGCCCCTGCACCCCCGGCCTCCCCTCCGCTCCTGTCAGCTCCCCCCCCGGGACAGCCGGGCGCGCTCGGGCAGGGGGAGCAGGGCGGGCGAGGGCGAGCGGCGAGGCGCTCGCGCCGAGAGCAGGACTTTCCTCCCCTTTCTCTGCCCGCCGCGTCCCGGCTGGCCTTGCACGCGGCACTCGCCGGCCGAGGGCGCCTCCGCCGGGCTGTGGCGCCCCCGCCGCCGCTCCCTGCCCCTCCGCGGCCGCGGGCTTTGTTGGAGCGGCTGCGCGGGGCCCGCCCGGCGCCCGGGGCTGCGGGCTGGAGAGCGGGGCAGGAGGAGGCTCGCCGGGCCGGGCGAGGGCGCCTGCAGCCGGCGAGCAGGGAGGGCAGCCCGGCGAGGGAGCCGCCCGCCGGAGGAAGGAAGTTTGTCCGGGCGCCGGGGGAGGATGCTGGTCCGGCGGCGGGCAGGGCGCACGGCCGGGTGGCCTGTGCCGGGCGCACGGCGGCTGCTGCCCGCGGCCGAAAGGGCCCCGAGCCCGCACCGCGCGGCTTGGTGCTCCGAAGGCGGCGGGGTCGCGTGTGCCCCGCAGCCGGCAGCCCTCCCGCAGTGGAAACTCAGTTTCCCCTGCCCCCGGCCGGCCCGTGCTCGGCCAGCCCCGGACGAGGACGGCGCCCGGACGCAGTCAGGCTGGGTGGAAATTCAACTTGGGACCTGTGACCTTCCGCGCCCTGCTCTCTGAGTGGAATGGGGGAGCAGCCCCTGCTTCCTACCCAGGACCTTCCCCAGCACAAGGATAGCCCCGTGCGCTGCCACCGGGCCCCTCCGGTGCAGGCGCGCTCGGGTCCCGCGACTCTGCAGCGGAGGACACCTGCTCGTCCCTGTCCGCAGCGGCTGAATTTAGGACCCTGGGCGGCCATTGGGATGTGATGTGCTCAAACGAAGATGATTTAGTCCGATGTGCCTCTAAAAATATTCTTTCTAGCAGATTAAACTGGACGGTGGGGCAAAGCAAAAGCGCATCCTGCTGCGAGTTCAGTGAAAAAGCCAGTGAACTAGTGAGGTTTTTGACGTGAAAGATTGTGGGTGACTTTAACGCGATTTGTTGGCACCAGGACAGATATTATGCGGTGCCCATAGCAACCTTACTTGGGGTAAGAGTTGAAAGGAAATTGATTTTATGCTAGGAAATGTTGATTTTCAAGCTAGTAAATTAATAACAGGAGTTAAAGAGCTCAGAAAATCCATTGTATAATCCATGATTTCATTCCACTGTCATCATCTGCACTAAGCGGGATACATCCACAGCCACGGAGAGCCAAACAGATGGCAAGCTATTAGAAATTATGGATTTCCCACGTATTTCTGTTTTAATGTAATGAGCTCTTATATTGTCCCATTATTAAGTCAATCTTTAAACATCCCAAGTAAAACGACTACAATTAAGAGAGAAAAAAAAAACTCCATGAAAATTGCATGCCTGAGCAGTTTTATATATTACTCCTACTAAAAATATTTCATTTTAGAGGCTTTACCTTAGCCCTTAGATACCTCGGTTGTGGAGAGGAGATGCAATCAGACCAAGATCTAAAAGTTTGTTCGTGTTCGCTGCCAGACTGTACCTGTCCCCTCCCAGTGTTGACTAGGGCTGTATAATAAGCAGCTCAAGAGGGAAGCTGGGTGAGACTGGACTCATTTGAATAAATTCTCCAGGAGAGCATTGTGAAGTCTGTAATTTATGGATGGTGGGTTTTTGGCATCATTGCTGTGCATGGAGTCAATACATAAAAATGTTTTTCTATTAAAATACGATTAATTAATTAACTGCAGCATTAAACCAATGACAGAGGGGGTTCTGAAAAATTTCCTACCAAAGAAGAACCTTTTAAAAGAGGCAGCCCAGTATAATACATAGCTGGGTCCTAGCTGTGACTCTGCCCCTCACCATGGACGGGGTGGTTAGCCTCTCCAGGCGTCCGTTTTTTCTTTTGTGCCCCATAAGAAATTTGGGTTAGATGGGTCTGGCACTATGCAACTTTGACAGTCTAACATTTGATTAATTAGAATTAGGACTCCGTTTCTGGCCACCCACTGGAAGATTTCCCAGTTGGCCCCCTCTCCCAGGTTGTTTTGGTGCTCTGAGGCCACCTTCTGCTTTGACCCCATCCAAGCATTTCTCACACACTGGCGTCCGTCTCATAGAATGGAGTTCCTTCAAGAAAGGGACCATTTCTAAATTCACCTTTGTATTATCAGTGTCTGCCACAGTCCCTGACTCACAGTAGAAGATGAAAAATTAATGGAAGTTAGCGTAAGTAAACCAAGGACTTCGGTAACTTAAGCAATGTTAAAATATAGGGACTTAGTGGTGCACTGAACTACAGTTCGTAGATTCACAACACTTTGGCCCTGAGAAGGATGGCAGGGAGACATAGGCCAGCAGTGGCTGTTAACCTTTCTTCTTCCCTCCACACGTGATGGGGTGCTATCAGTACCCGTAGCTCACCGGCGGTGATTATTAACCGAAGCAGATTGTGTCAGGTGGGCAATGGAGAGGAAGGGAGGGAGGTGCCTGGCAAAGCCTCCCATGGGCATTCCAGCAGACTTAAATACAAAATCCACAATTTGAGAGCTCTGGGCTGTTCTAACATCTCCATTTTTTGAATGAAAACCTTGAAAGGAGCAATGATAAATATGTTCAAAGTGACTCTACTAACTAGTGGGAGATTTTGTGCTAAAATCTAAATCTTATTTGATGCCCATTGGCACTATAAACAGCTTAATCTGGAAGCTTCAGGACAAAGGTTTTAAGCAAAGGAATCAAACTTATGGACTGAAATTAAGCTTTACTCCTCTCAGAATTCAAAGGATGTTATCTGAATCAAGAACTTCAGAAGTCTGTGCAAAGTGCTTGGATTTTTGTCTGGGAAACAAGCCTTTGCCAGAACCGGGCTGGGCCCTGAAAGGATGAGCAGGTTTTCACTGCTCTGTGCTAAACTCTTTTCTGTAAATCACCCAAATCTTGGATTAACCCTGTGGAGGCCGATGGCCAGAGCAGGATCCTGTTCATTGTGCTCCCTGTTCTTGATCCTTCATGTACTCACTGAGTACGTACTGTAAGCCAGAACGTACAGTGGAACGTGTACAGCTGGAAGCCAAATGGACATAATTCTAATTTTCATGGTAATTAGACTCTACCACAAAAGAGAGATTAAACACACACATACTCTTCATTCACTCAATAAATATTCATATGTACAAGGTGCCAAATGAACTCCTGAAGCAAAGTTTTTGCTTTTATGGTCCTTAAGAATCTAATGGGGGGAAACAAATAATATTTAAGGGATTAATTAATTCAACAAATAAGGATTGAGTGCCAACGTTATGGAAGGCACTGTTTTTTTAAATTTATTAACGTATCATTGATGTACAGTCTTATGAAGGTTTCACATGAGCAACATTGTGGTTACTACATTTACCCGTATTATCAAGTCCCCCCTCGCATTGCATCACTGTCCATCAGTGTAGTCAGATGCTGTCTTCTCTGTGCTATACTGCTGGAAGGCACTGTTTTAAGCAATATAGAAGTGCCAGTGACCAATAGATAAAGTCTAATGGAGTTTATGCACTACTGAGAGTCACACACTGAGCATATACACATATAAGTGGGAGTGAGAAAAAATGAGCCCAGATCAAGGAAAGTGATGGGCTGCTGTTTTTGATATGAGAATCCAGGAAGGTCCCTCCCTCTGGAATTAGTGACTTTTTAGAGGAGATCCGAAGAAAGTGAAGAAACAAACTTTGCAACTCTCTGGGGGAATGTGTTCTGGAGGAGGACGTCACCCATGAATCCTGGGAACATCAAGGAAGTCACTGTGAAAGCATGAACACAGGGAAGCATGGTGGAAAGTGGAAAGTTTGTAGCCAGGGGTGAGATGGTGTACTTTATAATTAGGATGTTAGGTGAAAGTAGGATGTGCTCTGGAAACAAGACACAAGGCATGAGGATAGAGGAAAATGGGAAGGGCCTGTTTAGGTAGTGCTGCTTGAGGAAGGCTCAGTGAGAAAGCAAAATGTAAACTGAATTCTGAGGTATTTATAAGAATCTTTAGGAAAAGCTTTCTGGATAGAGGAAGAATACACATAAAAGCAGCTCCCACATATGACTTGGCTCCCGTCCTGTTAATACAACTATAACCAAGCAAATGATCAAAAAGAAAAATTACCAAGATATAGCAACAATCTGAGTACGCATGCTGGAGTAGAAATTTGGTTGTAAGTATACCAAGAAAATCTATAGAGCAGCTTTTTGCTTTTATTGTTAGGCTCAAACATCATGTAATTAGGTTTTCAAAGATAATACCTTGTGCTATAATTTTCATGTCACTATGCATAAATCTACATGTTGCTCCCAAGTGGTCATAATATGAGATATGTTACTCTCAGCCTAACATTTTATTTCAGACAGTGATGCAGAAAGTGGTACCTATAATTTACCCTTGTGGCAAAGAGAAGATGTGGAAAGGAGATTAGTGTGGAGTCTTCTCTTCCGGAATTGAACAGGTTCACAGCAATTCTTCCCTATACCACGGGTCAGTTTGCCCAGATTTTAATCTCTAAAACCAAGAATGACCTTCAGTCTAAGAAAGCACGGTGCACTCTATTATACTTATTACCTCTCTAACAAAGAACCTAGGGATACTTCACTATATTAAAGGCTTCATGGATTTAGGGACTTTTCTTCAGTACAGGAGCTACAATTGTCCTTCACTTCCCAGCTCAAGGTCAGAAAAAATAATATAACAGAATTCTTCAAAATTTCACTTCTGCTTACCTTCTCCCTTAATTTTTGAGCAGAATGACTTTTTATTTTAAAATCCTGGCTTGTAAAGAAGTAATACAGAACTCACTCAGAGAAAAATGGATAATCAAAAATTTGTAGGAGTAATTAAAATTGTATAATTTGAAATATTTGAGACTTTGCTTATGACATGATCA